TGACTGCCTCAGTACATTTTTTCAATCTTTCTTTCAAAGTTGAACACTGCCACAAGACTTCTGATCGACGAGGTTGATTGACTGCTTTAGGTCAAGAAATATGACAAGTATAAAACTTGGGCGCTGTGGTAGAGTATAACTCCATTATGGATAAGATTTTATTATTTTTTATTTTATTTTCTTCTAGGAAGAAAAAAGTTGTGTAACTTGATATGATTATAAGCAATAGTTTGTGTTCGAAACGTCATCAGTTAATCTTACTGTGTAACACTGCGTTATCAAAATAAAATCTTATTCATAATGGAGTTATACTCTACCACAGTGCCCAAATTTTATACTTATAAAGCAAGATTTTTCTGGACGTTTTGCTTTGTAAGCCACAGCTTCTCCAACGCGGGATTATTTTAGATAATTTATAGTGATTCAGTCTGACCCGGCGCACAAATTATTTTGAGAAGTTCGTAACATCTACGGTTTGGAAACTTATAATTTCAGACCAGTAGATTTCCTTTTTGGCTCCAGAGTTCTATATTCATAAATATTCCTATATATATATATGAATAACTAGTAACCAACTTGAATATTTCCGTTGAAATGGTTGATATTAAAGTTGGTCTTTTATTTATTACTTTTATGTGGCTCATCTCGATGTCCGCGTTGTATCGCCTGTTTAAATAGATAGTAGAATGTTATTTTTCTAGTATCAAATTCCTATGGAAGAGCAAGTGTACTGCTTACTAATCCTCTCTATCTTAGCAGTTTTGAAACATGTTATCTTTAGTCAGAGAAAGTTAAAACCATACGGGCCTCTCCATGTGGATTACTTATCTTTTTATTTGAGACTTGGTACAATATTGGCATCAATAGAGAGACCACACAATTTCTTCTTAGCATTGAAAAAGCATCTATTTATTTATGTATTATTTACTGCATCTCTCACATTTTCATATAATAATCTATTCATTGGTATTTTATTTCACTCTTAGGATAGTTTTTCTCCTAAGCATCCCTCTAAATAGTTGAACCAATGCAGCAGCAGCTACCCGTCTTAAGGATTGCCATAATTGGATCTGGTGGAGTTGGTAAGAGTGCTTTAACTCTCCAGTTTATGTATGATGAGGTGATTGCTTTATTTGCGTTTTGACATTTCAACTTATTTAGTTTGTTGAGGACTATGAACCTACGAAAGCCGATTCATACAGGAAAAAAGAACGTTTAGACGGTGAGGAAATACAATTCGATATTTTGGACACTGCAGGTAATGCATCTATTCCAATCAAAACGATGTACTGGTTGTATGTTTTCCAAAAGATTTTATGCGTTTAATTTCAGTAATTTTGGGACTATTTTTTCTGTCTGCTTTGCTTCATTGTTGCTGGGCGTTTCCCTAATGGTTTAGGGAGACTTGAAAAGACACATTCACGTGCATAGACTGAGATTTGGCTTTTTATGTTCCACAACATGCTTACTTGTGCTATTCAATTTTATGAACTGATCTGAAACTTGGAAAGCATTTAACTGCCGTAAACACATAGTTCAATGCTCGTGGATGGTATTATCTTGAGGAAGCTATATTCTTTTAAACAAAATATTCTAGACGCTTATTAGTTTAGTTATACCTCTGTATATATATATATATATATATATATATATATATATATATTATTGAATGCAACTATCCTAATCACTTAATTCTTATCAAGGGATTTTAAGTCTAAGAAAAGTATTCACATTTCTTTAATGTAAAATCTAATAGTTCTCCTGCTTATTGTCATCATTGTCTTATTTGCTTTCGCTCAATGAATGTTGCAATCTATGGTTCTTTTTCTCTGAAAAAACTATAAACAGGTCAGGAAGATTATAACGGTATCCGAGATTATTATTTTCGAAGTAGTGAGGGATTTCTTCTGGTATATGCTATTGATGACGAAGAATCTTTACGTGCTCTGCCGATGTTTCAGTAAGTGTATGAATTAAAAAGAATTCTCGAGTTTATTAATTGCTTGCTCAAATCGTGTTTTTAACTTTCTTCAGTGGCATTAAGTTTAAAATAGTTACTAAGTAAACCCTTCATGTTGTATAAACAAATGTAATTTTATTTCCACCAGCAATACTCCTGTCATATCCCATAAACAGATAGACGAACAAAACATTCTAGAACTTTGCACAGGATTACATCTGTTAACCTGTCATACTTTCAGACACAGTACCAGGAAGAATTGAACAAAGGCAAAAAATGAATGAAGTGCTACTCAACGGTCCTTAACACTTCATATATCTGGTATTGACTCACATTTATTGTGTCGGGATTGGCGATACTGGTGCAAACGCCGCATGTTTTATGGAATTTGAATCAATGAATCTGATTCAGAATGGACTATCTAGAACTAATGAGCTAAAACTACGGCTATAGAAAAAAATGAGTTTGGAAAAAGGCGATAGTCAAGTTACGGCTAGTTAGAATGCCTAAATTTCTGAAGGTTGTAAGGGTGTATTATATTTATCAGACTATTCTAAAGAGTACCCAATCAGTCTATCTTAACACCCTAGTCAAACCAAACGTAATCTTACCAATCTTCACTTGGGTAACACATCCAAGTCAGCTCAATTGGTGAAGATTTCCAGTCAGTTTGGTCAAATTATCTTCCTTACCTAACGCCACGTCTAATTTCAACGTTACTCAATATATTATTCTATTACTGTTAGGTGAAAATAACCCGTGACCACTTTTTTTTCTACCTTTCGGAATTTGTTTCACAGTTCTTCTATAGTGGGGACTTTCAGCCAATGGGTCTTTGGTTGAAATCCTATTCCAGATGCATAGTACTACCAGCCCTCCACTATTCTTGTGACTGATAGCCTCTGACACATTAAAAATTTGTCCCAAATAATCGAGTTTTAACTAACCTATGTAGCTGTATAAGCATCACTAGAGAGCGTCCATGAGCACACTATTTTGTTGATATTTGTTTCACAGGCAGACAAAAAACACGTAGTGTATGACCTAAATGAAAATAAAATAACTAACTTTTTTGTCTTAGAAACTAGGCTGATCAGCAATTAAGACGTGTCCTCTGGGACCATCTATTTTACCTTCATGCTGTACTGGAACATGATTACTACGTCGTTAGAAATACTGCAGTGTGAAACAAAATTCTACTGAGTACCGTTTTGCCACATTTGCTTTCACTTTCACATTATAACATTTTTCACATAAGAATTCATGACTATTAATTAGGTTGATTGTAGTATCAGCCTACATATGATGATAATTAAATGTTCCTTTAATCATACAAGTCGTATCGGTTTTGCAAAGACTAACCTTAGAAATATCAACCGGAGTGGGTAGTAATGCTGACACCACTGCAAGTTTGTCAGTTTGTCTGTATGACTGGCTATTAAAGCTCGACTGAGCACACCTTTGCACAACAAAGCATTACCATTTTTTTGTAGATCAAGCTACTGACAGTTTACGTCTGTACTCTCATCCGTTAGTATTTTCGTTTATAATGAATTATCATTAATTAATCTAGTTCTTGAAAGAATGCCTTTCAGATTATACGTTCTCAAATTTTCTCTGGTTGGTAGGTTCTAATACTGTGACAGCCAACGAACCAATGTGTAATAAAGAATGCGTTCTCGAAGGAAATTTTGCTTTATGAATTTTTGTCCTATCGGTTAACGTAAAAGTCTTGGTATAGGGTCGTTATAAACTAAACTATCTGTCAAACCGTTTATAATAGTTTCTTAGGGTATTCAGCCGTTTTGTTTTCAGTTGATAGCCTTTCACATCTTAGAAATTTATCAACTTTAAACTCTAGAAATTCAGTTACATTTTGTGCGCATATCTTTTCGTATTCACCATAACAAAATCAGACTCTTTATCAGCCCTAATTCAGTTAATTTTAAGGCTATGATGTAGGCATTTAAGCGCATTCCTTTCAGGCATGGTGTCTGTCTGTTTGTTTTTTCAAACGGGCATACATATGTGTCGATGTCGAAAAGCTTAGATTTAAACTAACCTCTTGATTTCAGTTGAAGCGTTTTAATTCATCAACTGATCCCATGTAAACGAGATTTCTAGTAATTCCGGTAAATCTTCGGCTCTTTGCAGATAAATTAGCCATAAAAAATGTTTAGTACTGAAAAATTGTCTGTTGTATCCTCCAGTAATATGCGATTCATCGCTTGAAAGTTCCTGCTAATCTTGCAAAGACACCTTGTATTTTAGGAATGAAAAGTTGCAGTCACTAATCACTGGAGGGATTGGGCACAGTTTTGGTAACCAATATTTTATCACACAACAGGATCAGATGATCTGTATACTCAAGTTTGTATAGAATTTCTACGGGTGAAAGATATACACCATCACCCACCTTCAGATTGTTGACAAATTACTGTCAATGGGAAAGCTGAAAAGAAACTAACACCCATGTAACTTTTGTGTTTGTTTATAAGAATAGTTCTGTATCCACACTTTACCCTGAGGCTTTCTTGACCAACAGTTGATTTCAAACCCTTCATAAAATAAATACTCCATGTAGAGTAGTTTTCTAAAGCTGCACAAACTAAACTGTAATATCGCTACTAGTAATAATACCGTATAGTCTGTTCTGCGGTCATCTTCCCCGTGAAGCTTTACTGGTGGGCATATCTGACATCACCTCTCCAATCAATATACAAGTGCGAAACGTTGGAATTCTAATGAAAAGTACACTCTGTTCAAAGTGTTTAACAAAATTAGACTAATATTTGCAAGTCAAATTTCGATCACAGCTCATACAATTTTGTTTATAATATCTTGATGACTGTTGCATGACTCATATGATTGGACAAAGTTTTTTAAGAACAAGGGATGTCCTTTTTATATATGTTAATTTCGATTAATTCCCCCTGAAGAAGTTTCTACAAATTTATGAAAGAAAGCTTTGTGTATTTTGAGTTAACATGCACACAGTAATTACTCCTTCATCCATATACACATAATTTTACTATTTCAGTGAACAGGTAGTTCGTATCAAGAATTGTGAACAACCACCAATGTTAATTGTTGCTAATAAATGTGATCTAAAAGATCCTAAGCAAAAAGACTATACATTGCAGGGCATGCAATATGCAAAATGTTGGGGCGTACCTTTTGTGGAGACATCGGCAAAGATGTGTTGTAATGTGGATAAGGTAAATTGAACCATCTAATTTGATCAAAAAAAATATATTTCACTTTAAAATTTAATTAATTTTTATTGGTAGGTATTCTGTTGTCTTCCTTAACTAGTTAGCCGGGCATTTATAAATGGACTATGTTTTGAATGAGATCTCTTTTTTATTATCTTATTCTATATGTTGGTAACTCTAACACCAAAAAGAAAAAAGCTGAAGACATCTGCCATCATAAACATCCATTTTCTCTTATCCACTTCCTTCAGCCGATCACTTTCCAACCGTAAAGTATGACGGATCGAACTGCTGCTGCTGCTGCTATACATGTCCATGGTGCCAAAGGTGACACAAGTTGGCTAATACCAAATGAACCTTTTGTATATTTGCTGAAATTTCGTCAACAATCTGTCCATTAGGAGAGCAGATGCAACTTTTAAAATAAGTGAAGTGGTCAGCACATTCATAAATTTCGCTTCTAGACGAGAGCTCTGGGAGTCAGTGAAGATCAATTCACCAGTATCATTTTACAGGAGAAAATAACATATCTAGCATACTAAGATTTGATCAGTATGTTCGGAAAACTGCGTTTTGTGTACGTCTTTATCTGCATACTGTAGATCAACGAGTCCTTTACATTGTTAACAAGTGGATCTCCAAGAAATAGAAGTCGGCAAGGGTTGCATCCATCAATACATCTATATAAAAATTAACTAAAAATTGTGGCACTGAGCATTCTTGAATAGACAACATTCCTATTCAACATTTACTGAGTGCACTAGGTGGAGAAAGCAGTCTACTTGGTAACAGACCTCATGCATAGGTCTATGTAATCTGTAATATGTTAATGCGTAGGCGTGTTTTGCTTACAAGTTACTTTTATTAACTGAACATTCTAGCCTAGTAGCAAACAAATGACGGTTTGTAGGGATTTAGTCTAGTTAATACACAACCGAACTCTTAGCAATTTGACTTGGATACCATGGGATTTCTGAATAGATGACGTAGAAAGAACACTTGGAGAGTAGATTGATAATGAAGTCGGTTCGGTAGATAAATTTCACGAAGATCTCATATGAGAATATTTGAGGTATGGTTTGTATCAATAGTAGGAATCTATGCAGTCTTCGAACTATACAAATTCTTACTACTGATAGATAGAACGCATAAATTTTCATTATACCAAGCGATATTTAGAATAGTCTACTGTCAGCATAGTTATATCAATTACCTCAATAAACACAACTATCTAAAGACACATATATAGACTACCGTTTAATTAATTTCTGTTACGAATTCAATAGTTGTTTCAAACGTTTCAATTCAAACTTTGTTTCTAAGTTATGTACAAGTCGATAAAACAGACCAATTATATATATATATATATATATGACTGGTTTAAGCGTAGAACTTTGCACAGATGTACAGTAGTTCGAGTTACTACACTCCATTTAGCACACAAAGCAAGAGAAAGAGATTCAAAAGAGAAATAATAAACAGAAGTGGGAGCGAAAAAGATTAATAATACGGAAGAACAGTATAGTTTTATTGGGACTTCTAAGTCACAAAGAGTGAATGCATCTGTGCCAGCCATTGACAACGATTTTGAGCCAAATCACCAATTGTCTCCAGCCACTAGTTTTTACCATCCCGGGGACCCCAACCAGGAAGCCAGTCTACACCTTCCTACTTGACTGGCTGGTTTATACTAACTGTTATGGATTTCATTGACTGATGAAGCCATGTTTTGGTTTGACCACCCCTAGCTTTTTTCCAACTTGATTCTATGTCAGTCAGCTACCATTGCCTATTGTCGTGGAAGGCGGTGGCTAGTCATGCGTAACACATCTCCTAACCATCTCAATCGGTGTAACTTCACAACCTCGTCTATTGATTTCTGCTCCTTACCTAGCACTCGAAGCCTAACGTCAATATCGCTCACCTTATTAAACCACTTAACACGGGAGATAGAACACAGACACCTATGATCAAAGACAGCTAACCGGCCTTTTCATATCTTCTACTTTCAATGGCTATATCTCACTGCCATAAAGGAGGATATATGTATACTTTTGGCTTACTCCTTCATTGTTCAATCATCACATTTTACTGAGACATGTGTCTGCTAATAGCATACATATTCATCTTGAAAAACGCGTAAGCGTATTTTCGTACTGAAGAATTCTAAATTTAGTAGAATACCCACATTGTTTATACATTTAACATGCTATGTAATCGATATGATATAACATCTTTTAATAAAATTTTAAATATTCCTGAGTTTGTGTTTAATTAGTAAAGACATCTCACTGACACGTTCATGTGGCATGAAGTTGCCCTTTTTTGTAACCATGTATTTTGTATCACATAATTAATTAATATTCTCAATACCCACAGAAGAATAGATCTGGACATATTAATCCACTCCATGCATGCTACTTTAGTTCTGTCATGTCTAACCTAATATATATGCATAAGGTCACTTGGTTACCAACCCATTGATCTGTTTATCCAACATAATTTATGCAATCACGGTAGTGTTTCATGCAGTAATTTTTTGACATGAATATTATTGAAAGTGGTACTTTCATTCTACAGGTGTACAATCATATGTCTTGAGGACTGTTGTTATGTGAAACTCTGATGACACACTACTAAAGTGACTAATTTAGTAGCATATAAAATTACCCCCGAGATAAATTGCTGATAGTGGGAGTAGGTGAGCTACTTAGTCAACCATTAAGATTGAACAAATTACACTGTATGTATTTACAGTAGGTGAAATATCAGAACATGTATATTAAAGATTGGCTATGTAACATATTAGTGCTTTTTATGCTTGTTCATGACTTGAGCTTTAAGGGCGTATTGTAATGCAGTCACTAAATGATCACTAGTACACCTGAATCATTGTCCTAATCGACTTGTATCAACAAGTCAGTAATATCGATTTCAGCTTATGTATATATAATTCAAGTCAATTCTCTTTTTATCCAACATGGATTAACTTAGTACTAGCATATGCTATGCAAGTGTTATCTTAACATGAATGGCATACATTTCCACTACTCGAAGTGTTAACCATCGATTTTCTCAATGCATCTGATGCTTCGTAATTAGAAATTTTAGGTCAAGTTGATCAAAGTGATAATTCAGTGACTATTAAGTGCATGCTGCTTTACAAATTGTGGGTGTTAGAAATACTGTTTCGCTGATTAAAGATGGAAATAATTTTAACAAGACTGCATTCTGTCAAGATTTTTTTCGCTTAATCTGTATGCTATAAAATAATCAGTGGGCTTCTGGGTAAAGCATAAATTCTCCAATGATTAAATATGAAAGTACTCACATATTACGTGAAACTCAGCTGCTATGATAAACTTCTTTTATCTGTCTATTATTATTATCATTATTACAACAAAAACTTGGCACGTTATGGGCATCAGGAAGGGCTCCACACAAAACCTGATGGCTTGTGTGATAGTTGGAATGCTGCCTGAACGCCCAATCTGAACTAGGTGGTTGTTTTAAGGAACCACCCCTGTCCTTTGACTCGACGTCTGACCTACAATGCAGTGGATCTGCGTTCCCATGGTTGCCGGCGACCAAAACAGGTTCATGAGCTATTCGGTCCTTTCAGATTCTGGAGCTCATATACACCATAGGTTTGGGATCAGTGTTTTATAGCTCACCTTGGTAGGCTTGTATGCCCGCCACCTCTGTCGTAAGCTCCAGACGTCGGCATTCACCCTTTCACTTTTGTGAGGAGTACCTACGCCGCTCGAAGGCAATGAACAGGGCTTACCTGGTGGAGGCTATGAACGCATGGCCTTATGAAAGGATTTCAAGAAAAGGACTGAAGTCTACCTACCTTTGGCCGTACCAGACTGTCTGTGGGGCATCATTATCTATGGTTGCTTCAAGGATGAACTTATACAGTTGGTGTGATATTACCCAAGTGAATAACAAATTCATGTGTCTCAGCAAATCTATCAACTATTTATGAAAACTGGAGACTAACTATTTTAGTGTTTTCCGTGATTATCGTTGCATTTATTAGCTATATGAATAACGTCTGCGAAAAGTTTGTGCATTGTTGAATGAATCGATTTATCATAACTATGTTTTAATAGTTGTTTACATACAGTGTTTGTTTTTGTTTGAATTTTGTTTTAAGTAAACTTACCAAAATTAAAAAAATTATCTATTTGTGTTAACAACTATTGTAACATATTTATAGTACAATGAATGTTCTACGCAAAATTACAATCAATTTCCACATTTTCTTTTCCTCGTATTAATAAAATTATTTTATCGAGGCCAGTTTACCTCCTTCATCGAGCAGTGTTATGTTGGGAAAGAGTTACGGAGTGCTCAAATGAGAATGTAGCATCATTACATAAAGTCTTTGACTGCTAGTTTGAGTTACGGTTTTCTGGGGTCCTCGCGGTGCTAAGAACCAGTTGTTGGTGACATGACTCAAGGTCGTTCTCAGTGATGCCGACGCATTCATTCTCCTTGAGCCCCTGGTTCTATCAAATCCTTCATGGGATTATTCTTTCTCATTGTTTATTATAGTTTCTTCGGATTTTTATTTTTTCCTACCTTTCGTGTGCTGTATAGACTGTGACGGCTTGTGTCAAATGTTAGTTGAATCATTTCCACTGTATAAGTGTATAGGCAAGATATGAAGATAAAAGATACTCAAGCTATGTACAAGGAATCCATAAATGCAGTGAGGTCATCGGAGTCTGTCATTTTATCTGAAGTGTCTTAAAATATCAACTTCGAACTCTTCATGAACACTAAGCAGAAAGGTTTATACGTTTCAAAAGTTTTGGTCCAGAACTTCAGTGTTACTTTCTGTGTGTGTGTGTGTGTGTGCAGTGTTTTACTTGCCTATAGCATATTAAATGATATATTTGTTTTAATTGCTTATTCATCTGAAATTTCTGTTTTATTCATATCTTCCAAGGTATTTATTGAAATAGGTCGAGAAATTCGTCGATCTCAGTTGGCTAGCATACAATACCCAAAACAAGTTACAAAACACAAACGAAGAAAAAAGTGTACAATCTTGTAAAAGCTCTTAAGTTTCTTCAACAGTGCATGCACTTTATACTTTTGTTGATTTGTTCGTTCGTGTGTGTGTGTGTGTGTGTGTTTGGAGTGAGTAAACTCCAACACTTCTATCCTTATATATGCGCTTTTGGGAAATAAGTCTAGGCATCTGACTAAAAAAGAAAAATGATTTTTAAGAAAGCTGAATGAAAGAAAATTATTCATCGCCCAATATGATCATTTTCTTATTTCATAAGATAATGCAATATCCCGAATCCCCCTTCATAATTGCTGACAAACAATTTTATCTGTTCGCTTTCAATCTGCCTGCTCCTCTTCGTCTGTCTGTGTCTCTGCGTGGGTGTGCGCGTGCGCGCGCGCTTGTTAATTTGTATGTAAAAAATTCATTTATTCTCATTCCTTTCAAGTACTTTTAAGAAGTATTATTGGTTGTGTTGGTAAAACTGTTAGAGATACAATAGGCTTATATTGGAATTTAATAGAGATATGAGTGTATTCTTCACCTGTAATATCCGGTGATCACGTCTTTTTGTCGACGTATGTTATGCTTGCTGTTTTGATTTTTTTTCTTTTTTCCGATGCATCAATACTTTTCTTAAATTCCTTACTAATTCTTAGCCTACGTCTGTACTGTGCTTAATTGCATAGTTCTATCTATACCCCCCTACCATGGTGATAATACAGCATTTCTCTTCTTGCAGGAATAGCAAAAGTAAATTGTATATGTGGCTAATTTTCTCTATTGGATCTTGTTTTGTGCAACTATTTCTTCCCTTCATGTGAAAAATTCACACACAAATAACACGTGTGTGCATGAATCTTGTACTTTTCAAGTCCAGCTTTCTCTGCCTTACTGCTGCAATAAACAATGCGTGTTGCTTCTCTTAAAATGATACACTTTATGAATATATATATATATTGTTACACCGATGCTTAATAGCTTACCTTATTTCCCTATCAATCAGACATATTCGTTTATCCGACATAAATACATATGTAATAACTTATGTAGATAAGTCCAGTGTCTGTACATTTCATACAATAATATTATTGCTTATTGAATAGGCGTTACACAGTGAGTTTTTATTTTATTTTGTAGACTTAAACGAAGCGACTTATAGGCGCGTGTATTACTACTATCCCCCCCCCGCCCCCTTCTTTGTAATATCAACTTTTACACTCGCTTCGAATGTTTGATTGTTATTATTATCATTATTTGCACTACTCTCTGATTAATTTATTGTTGGTTAAAATTCTCCTTTTCATTACAAAGCTATGTTTTCTTTTGTAAGTTATTTTTTAAATTCCCTTCTGCTTTTTATATTTTCTCTAGTCTTCATTTCCATCATCCTACATATACATGTGTGTTGCTTGGTTTGTTTCGTTGAGAGAAAAAAGATAATATTGAAGTACATTAGTCATTCTCTGTGTTGTTTAAAATTTTTTTGGCTTGGTTTTGTTTATTTCGTTTAATTTTTCCTCTAGTTTATCTTTGTACTTCATAATTTCTTGTGTCTGTGTGTATAGAAATGGCATGTTTTTTCTTTCTATCCATAAGAATCCAGATGCTAAAAAAGGAGAACTTGCTTTCTGCATCTACCTGTCGACTGAATTCCATTGGCGTCTGTGTATATGAAAAGCGATTTGACCATCAGTAAACCAGTTGCTACTGCTACTACTAATACTTTTTATAGAATATAATTAGACGACTAATGCTTCTACTGAAAATCGTTGTTTATATTTGTATAAGACAGTTAATGTCTTGAATCTGCTTACAGTCTCAATTGTCGCTTCCAAATCACTTGTCACGCTACTGACGTGTGTATTACTCAGTTTATTGATACCAAACTGTTAGTTCAAGTGAAGTGAGAAAGTTTATGTATCTCAAACAAACAAATCTGTGAATTATTAATCATTAGCCAAAAGGCTCTGAATGAAATAACTCAAACAAGATTATTGTTATTATTTAAGTATATCAGAATCAGTCTCTGTTTTTCTATCAATGTATATGTGTCTGTTACGCCGGTGAATATATGCGAATGAACTTGTAAATGTCCTCTCACTGTTGTCGCTTTCTGTTTACTTCGCCATTGATGTAGACCAGGTGAGACGCTGTTAGTGTATTGCTTCAAGGTGTAAGCACACTCGACTTTTCTAAGCTCAATAGTGTCCTATCCTTACTTTGAATACTCAACTTTTTTTAAACTGTCTATACTTGATTTATATTGTTGAGAGCAAGACTAATAAAAGCCATCATAAAAGGTGTACTGTGTAGTAATTGAATTACTTTAAATGTAGCATTCTCGTGTTGTAATTCTACTAGGTGGTATATATCCGAATTTTTCCTACAGATGTGCTTACAGCATATAAATGCATATCATTGTTAACAGAACCGTCAAATTCCTATATCTCTTAGTGTTTAATCTAGAATCTGAAAATCACTCATTCTCATCGCTATTTTAATTTTTCATAAAACCAGCCAGTTCTTTAAAGGCTTTTCAGTTTTCCTGTAGCTCTGTCATCGTATACCAGTCATTTGGTTTCTTTTACTCGAAGTCAGTACTTCTTCACAGTCTAAACCACATGAACTTGATTAAAAAATAAATTAAAAGTCAGTCCAAATGAAGAATATTCTTTTCAATAAGTCCTCTTGAGGTTATAAGATAAAATATTTGTTATCATTGCAATAATGGTGCTGTCTCTTGGACGTAAATTTTGTGATATTCGTAAATATTAAGTCAAATACATACAGGTGTACAGTTCGAGAACCTGTAGATGCAAACAGGTGAATTGGTTACGTCCTCTGTTAAGAACCTAGCACGTTTTAAATCGATTTTGGTAGACTGCCATCAGTAAAGACAATAAAATAAGACTACAGCCCTTCATATACGAACCAAAGAGTATCGAGAGGCTGTTAAACGACTAGGACTACATAAAAATATAGCCATTACTAGACCAGATAAAAGACCTAGAATTGTAATTATGAACAGACATGATATATATAAGGAAGATGAATTCCCTCTTAGCGGATGAAAGCGACATTCAGAAACCAATAAAAGATTAAGCTGAGAAAGTAGATAGAGAAATCACTTAGGAAACTGAGAAAAGAAAATTATATCTCACCAATAGCATGCTGAAACCCACAAGTAGCACAATTTCATGTTTGTACAGTTTACTAAAAGTGCATAAATCAATAGTAGCACTCTGTACCATTCTAGATATGTCACATTCATCTTGCAGTTCCTCCACATCACCAACCAGTCAATGATGCCATTCAAATATATGACATCCCTTGATATATTATGTCTTCTGGTGGGAACAATCGATTATGTCTGTTAATAGATGATAGAGAGAAAGTCGTACATTGGTATTCCTATTGCTAATCTGATTGATCTACGAGTTTCTGTATAATAATGAAATGTTCAAACAGATATACGGACCATGCCCAACCTTTCCTCTTTACCAGCATTATTTCTGGCTCAGCGAGGATAAGGAGTGCGTCGGCCGGGGATCGAACCCCAGACTATGTGCATGGTCGGCGAGCGTCCTAACCGCTATACCACCGACGCACAAACTAAGAAATATACAGTTCATAAACTGGGAGGTTTCGAAAACAATCATACGAGCTGTCCAAGGGCTTTATAGGCGAATAGATGACGGCGTATACTAATATCTACTACAAATTGCTTTTCAGCACTTGAATGCAACAAATTTTTCAAGGCACTTGTTATTGTATCAGTTTCAAACTAAACGCCCTACATTTCACTTATGAAAATAGCCGTAATTAATGACGGCCCAACGGGGACTAAATGACTGTATACAGCGACGTATGCCGATCTCATAACAGTACTCTCTCTCTAGTCTACTTCGGCTATCTCCTACGGAAGGATGAGCCGGCTTCATGAACATCTCGAATCATCGCTGCCCAGGCGCGGCGATCTGATGAAGAGAGTTCATGAAGTTTCATGGGAATTTGGTACGAGTGATGTCCCCAGAATCGCTCGGCCTTTTGTTTGAGAGTGCAGCTCTAGCCTTTACACAACCAAGTGTGACCTACAAGGCAGTAGGAGTGGAGTAGGGAGTCCACTATCCATTGGCAGCCGGTGACCGGAGTTCGGTTCATACGCCTTTTTGAATGGGGCCAGACATCCAACAAGCCCTTTGTCCATACGTCTGCCAGTGAGCTTCATACGCCAGTCGTTGGAGGTTTGGAATCAGGGTTTAGCCATCTCCCCTAGACTGTCATCCAATAGACAGTCAACCCGGTGAAGAGCGCCGGGCATCCGCCCTTATATGCATCTTTCTTCATTCTAAAGAATTCATTGCACTAAACAATAGGGAGGAGGATTTCATTAAATAAAACGATGTCATATCTACCAGTTGTAAAAGGCTATCACTAAGTGAAGTATGCATATAGGTTCAACTGACGTATTATCAAAAGTTTACAAGTTAAATAAGATAACCTATTAGGAGAAACTGTGCTAGACACAAAGCAGGCATTAGTAGCAACGTCTTTGTTTATTGTCTCAACATTATTGTAAGCATACTTGGATATCTGACATTGTGATTTCGTATATTCGAACAAGGAAAACGTTTAAATTCAACAGTAATATGGAACTGAGTGATTGTAATTAAAGTTATATTCTTCGCATAGGGAATTAGTGTTAAGTAAGGGCGGAGGGAGTCAGTCTATCTGGTCGTAAAGCTACATCGATTAGGATGACTCAGACACGTGTTACGCATGCCAAGCCACCTCTTTCTTCAAGCAGTGTTAACCAATATACAAATAGGATGGAAGAGTTGGGGGTGCGTGGGTGGTTAGATCAAAAATTAATTACTTCTTTAACAGTAAAAGGCAAGCCGCTATTTATATCTATACAGTTTTTATTCTTTAACCAATCACTGAGCTTGTGATTTCGGTTCACATTAAACGACGTGAAATAGAATGTTCAAATACACATAGTATTCTGTTGCTAACGCAGTACTGAACTGTGAGAATAATATTCCGTCGGAACACATTGTCTGTATCACACTTCTATTCATTTCTCATCTTCATGTTACAGTCTATTATATAACGATCTGTCTAAACTTTCATAGTTTTGCAACACATATATATTACGCTAAGATTAAATGTCACTAATTTAATATCTTCATATTGGTAAATTATTACTAACATATTACCACTAACTTATAACCTCAGAAGGGACATGAATTCCTTCAAGGTTGCAGATCCACCTTGCTGACGAGTGCCAGTCAGCACGAAACCCAGGTCCAAGGCTTCCTACCGATCGCCTCCAACCATCTGATAGTTGAAAAACACATTTCTATTCTGAATTTGTTGTTACTTTTCTCTAAGTGAGTATGCATTGTGTTAATATTTCACGGTGTATGTTATTAGCACCAGTCAACAGACTACATTCGTTTTGTACACATAATAAATAAAAAGAATCCCAGACTTTATTCAGTAACAATAAATAGTATTTCACTTATCCCACTTATTAAGTATCGTATGTTAAATATTTCTCACCAAAGTTCATTCAAATTATTTGATTATTAATAAATTCATTAAAATGAACGAGTGTTCATCCTCATTTAAATCAATTTATCTGTATATTTTGATTCAGTAAAAACAAGCACACTCTGAGCATATCCAGATTATAGCCCATACAAAAAAGTTATACACTATATATGTATATACGCCTGTAGGTGTATATTGAGGAATGAAGTTATCGATTTTCGCCAACAAAATATTACCACCATACAGCAGCAGCCTTTAACATTAATAAACACACACATAAAGTATTGGTTAATTTAAATTAATAACAGTCACGTCTGACTGTTGTACATCATATATATATTCTCAGATTCTATCTGTGAGAAGCAAGAGTGGAATAAACCCAAACTTTAAATAGTTAAATCATGGAGAATATTGACATAAAATATGAATCAAATGAAACTAACCCTGAATTCTTAACCACTCCTAATGAATTTACTCAATGCCGACAAAACCTTCAGGAAGAAATTAAAAGCGTTGTCAATCCCCATAACAGTGATTCAAATTCAGATGCATTTCCCATCAATTCTGTAAGTTTATGATGATTTATAATCAGTTTATCTATTACACATTAAAGAACCCTTGTCCACTTACTTCTGTTCAACTGACAGAATCTGATGATATTTTAAGTCAGGGCACTGAGGTAATAATTCATAATGAAATTAACTGTTCAGTTATTATCGTCACATCAAAGTCTTTATCAAGAAACTGTTGAAAGAAAACAATATTCTGAAAGAGAGATCACTTACAATGTGAGTATTATCCTCAAATTCGTCTGAAGAATACTTTTATTTTCACATACACATTATAGTTGTTATTACGAAAGTTGGTCAATGAGTATTTAGACAGGACAGTTACCTATTCCCATCAACCAAAGCATATTTTGACCATTTTGAAAAGCGTACTTGAAAGAAATTTCCCTGAATTCAATGATTCATTTCATCGTGAAAGAATATGTGCCTACTTGAAAGCGTGTAGACGTAAAGCAAAAAAGAACAGTAGTGAACCATATGTAAGAATCAGTGCACGATATTTAAGCGCTGGTACAGCGTCTAGAAAAGCTGAGGAAATATACATGAAAGAACACGACTATTTAGTTAATGCAATCATGGTAAGTGGTTATGCGAACAAATCGCTAATCATATTTCTTAGGATGGTAATAAAAGTTATCATGCATTTAACCAGTCACTTATGTTTAATGATGATGATTATGGAAGTAATACAAATGAGGTCAAAAATTTTACTACTACAATAAATACAAACAGTCATCAACAACAACATCAGTGTCAACAACCTGAATTAACACCCACTTGTTCATCCACAAATTCTTACACATTAAACGATAATAACAATTTAAATTCGACCAATAGTAATGACCATTTTACAAGTTCCTATGGTGAACCAATTCTTAATCCTTTGAATTCTGTGTTTCAACAGGTAGGTCAGTAATTAGTCTATATAATTGTTTCCACTTAATATGTAGCATGTTAACAGACTTGCAGTTGTGAAATTATGGGAACAAATAGCTGAATATCTTTTAAATATGGCTGATCGCCTTGATGCTGGTCAAGATATATTTCCACAGAATCTACTACCTAACACTTAATTATGACATCTTTTTATGCTTATATTATTCATGAGATTTTTTTCTGTATATTGTATCATTATTCTTACTGTCATCACCAATGTCACTGTCTTATGATAATTTTTGTTGATTAAAATTTTTTCAGTGTAAAATATAGGATAAATGTACTTATAAACAGTTTTTTTATTAATGCTGAATAACGTTACTGTGAAAATGTGGTCATTAGTAATGGAAGTTCTAGCAGTTTCTACTGAGACATCCATCATTTCAGCTGTTTCCAGTTGACAAATGTGCTGGGCACACTAATTGGTTTGTGTTTCGAGCAGTACTTAAGAGATGAGTTCCAAAAACTGAAGGGTACTTGTGGCAAGTAAGGTGGAATATGGTGTATACGATTTAATCTAATCAATCTAAAGTGGGATTTACGTGATAGGAAATGATTTCACGGCCAAGTTAAATTTTAAGCACCACTAACTACTAGTGGAGTGCGACCGCACCAATCACCTTGAAACGCTCACTGAGCAAGTTAGTGAAATCCGGCAAATAATATCATCATCAATAAAGTATGCTCATCGAAGTGTCTTGTTATTAAATGGGATATCTGACAAGTTTCAGCTTAGATTTGGTAAAGATTAAGTTAAGGTTTAGGCTAAGGACAGGACATGTTAGGGTTAGGCTAACCTAATAAAGGCGACATTAGGGTGTCGGTGCGAGTTAGATTAAAGTTAGTTTAGGGATATTTTCACGTTAGGGTTAGGTTCAGGAAAGATTGGGGTTATTGTTAGGGTTAGAAGACCTAAATAATTACATGGATAGAATTTGGTTAAATTTCTCCGTTAATATAAGAATAGAACTTGTGCACTGTGTTAGAGCATATTTCCATTGTGGATAAAATTTATTTTGATAATGTCTCACAATGTTATTCAATAATATTTACTGATAACGTTTCGAACACAATTTATTGCTCAGTAAATATTAATGTATAACACCATGAAACTTTATCAAAATAAATTTTACCCACAATAGAATTATACTCTGTTGATACTCCAAACTAAAACTGAGAGCTATTTTTATCTCATGTGAGAGGAAGGTATCCTCTGTTACACTTATATACAGTTTTTATGCATTTTTTCATAAATGTATGCATCCCATACACATCTAGTAAATAAACAATCTCCTCCATCCATCCTTATATACCTTCAAGTTTTACTTTTATTATTTCTATTACATTTATGATCCTGTTACTTCTTTGTTTTACTAATACTACTTCAAAGAAATTTGAGTGCTACTTAAAAGTGGAAATCGTCTCTATTCATAACGAAGTCATTTGATTGCGTTCAATTTTGACTTGAGTTGAATTTATGGCGTGGCATGGGACGGACGGTTGGTTGTTCTGCAGCCAGCCCTTGTCGTGTGGTGGCTTATGGGGCTTCCACTCTTCATCAAAGGAGTTATTTGATAAGTTTGCCTTCCTTTTATTATATTTTTTATTAATTAGCTTCATGTTTAGGCCAGATTTTAGCTTTATGTTTACTATGCTAGGGCACTTAGGGGCCTTTCGGCCATAGTTTCCTTAGGGATGCCAAAGCATAGGAAAGCTATATACCAATGGATAGCTCTCAGCGAGACCTATCTTTTGGCAGTGGTTTTCGCACTCCATAGCTTCTCCTCAGCCCCATCAGGATCTTTGATTGCTGGGCTAGGGCCCTCCGGGGCTATGCTGCCAAAATTTTTCTAGGGAGGCTAGGACTTAGGTGAAGCTACACACCAATGGATAGAACTCGCCGAGATCTATCTTTTGGCAGTGGTTTCGAACCAAGTAGCTTCTCCTCAGCCGAATAGGGATTTTTCTAAACTGGGCTAGGGCCCTAGGGACCATACTGCTGAAACCTTAGTAGGGAGGCTAGGACCTAGGGAAACTATATATCAATCGATAGCTCTCCATGAGATCTACCCATTGATGCCGGTTTCGCACCTTATAGCTTCTCCTCAGCCGAATAGGGATTTTTCAAAGGCTGTAGGGGAAATCCTGTCTCTAGGCTCAGAGATCATGCTGCATGCTGACCTCGTGACATTTTTAGCTCCGCACCTCTAGGTTGCTTGCCATGTTGTATGTAGCTAGGGGGCATTGTCAACCTTAGGGCCACAGGGAGGCATAGACTGCTAGGCACAAAATCCCCCGTATTTTTCTTAGGAATAGCGTTCGCCCTCTGATTTATATACCATTCGATTCTACTCGACGAGACGAATCGATTGGTACCTGTCTTGCCTTTGTAGGGCTTACGGTTGCGGAGACATGGTAAGGTAAGTTAGATAAGGTATGTATTATAAGTCCACCTTAGGGAGACAAGCCTTAGGTAACATCGCTCTAAGAGAGGAGATAGTTCCCACCAGGCACTATCAAACACAATACTGGGTAGATGGAGCTCATAAGTCCAGAAAGACAGTCCATCTTCGGGAGACAACCCTGAGGAAAAATCGGTCTTGGATAGGAGATGGGTGCCACCAAGACCTATCAAACCCAATACTGGGCAGATGGAGCTCATAAGTCCAGAAAGACAGTCCATCTTCGGGAGACAACCCTGAGGAAAAATCGGTCTTGGTTAGGAGATGGGTGCCATCAAGACCTATCAAACCCAATACTGGGCAGATGGAGCTCATAAGTCCAGAAAGACAGTCCATCTTCGGGAGACAACCCTGAGGAAAAATCGGTCTTGGATAGGAGATGGGTGCCACCAAGACCTATCAAACCCAATACTGGGCAGATGGAGCTCATGAGTCCAGAAAGACAGTCCATCTTCGGGAGACAACCCTGAGGAAAAATCGGTCTTGGATAGGAGATGGGTGCCACCAAGACCTATCAAACCCAATACTGGGCAGATGGAGCTCATAAGTCCAGAAAGACAGTCCATCTTCGGGAGACAACCCTGAGGAAAAATCGGTCTTGGATAGGAGATGGGTGCCACCAAGACCTATCAAACCCAATACTGGGCAGATGGAGCTCATGAGTCCAGAAAGACAGTCCATCTTCGGGAGACAACCCTGAGGAAAAATCGGTCTTGGAGAGGAGATGGGTGCCGTCAAGACCTATCAAACCCAGTGTAATGCTATGATGAGAACAATATCAGTAAACGCCATGCCGGATCGGTCGGGGCCCGGTTTAACAACGACCGCGCTTTCTGCTGCCGTGTCACAGGGCAGAAGTGATAAGTTAGCTACTGAGACACACCAACTAATAAAACTCCCAAATGCTGACACAGTCATAGGAACATGGAATGTTCGAACGCTTTATGCCTGTGGGAAAGTAAAAGAACTGACCCATGAACTCAGTAAATACCGATGGGACATCCTAGGCTTATCAGAAGTTAGGTGGACAGGCTCGGGAGTAACAACTACAGAAGAGGGTCATAAGATATGGTACAGTGGGGACGAAGAGAAACACCAACATGGTGTGGGTTTCATCGTAAACAAAAAACAAGTTAACTCTGTAATAAGCTGTAGACCCGTAAACAATAGAATCATTTCTCTACGAGTTAGGGCTCAACCACTTAACATAACAATAATACAAGTTTATGCGCCTACATCTGAATACCGGGACGAGGAAGTAGAATGCTTCTATGATGAACTAGAGGAGTGTATTAATGAGACTCCGAAAAAAGACATTCTTATTGTCATGGGTGACTGGAATGCTAAGGTAGGTGAAGATGCATACGACCAATGGGCAGGCACAGCTGGACGTTTTGGATTAGGTGAAACCAATGAGAGAGGAATAAGACTGCTGGAATTTGCAAGCAGCCACAAGCTCACACTGGCCAACACTCTATTCCCTCATAAGACATCAAGGAAAACAACATGGCACTCACCTGACAACAAAACACATAGCCAGATAGACTACATTCTGTTCCCAGCAAGATTCAAGTCAAGCATTAACAAGGCTAAAACCAGAACTTTTCCTGGAGCAGACATAGGCAGCGATCATGACATGGTTTTAATGACTATAAAATTAAAACTAAAACAGAACCGCAGACAAATAAGCCCTCGAATCAGATATGACCTAGAGAAACTTAGGGACCCAAACATAGCAGAAATGTTTAAGGCAAATGTAGGGGGCAAGTTCGCTGCACTTACCTTGATTCACGACAATATCGATTCACTCACTGAAACCATTAAAACAGTGCTGCATGAATCAGCAACAGAAGTTCTGGGTAACAAAAGAAAGAAAATCAAACCATGGGTCACAGACGATATTTTAAACCTGTGTGATACAAGAAGAGAACTAAAAAAGAAGAAAGGACTTAATTCCCAGTACAGGGAAGAGTATAGAACAGTAGACAAAGAAATACGCTCCAAAATGAAGAGGGCAAAAGAGGGCTGGATTACTGAACAATGTAATATCATCGATAATAGCTTAAGGGGAGGCAACAATAAAAAAGCATTCGAAACACTGAGTAAGCTGACCAATACGAAACTAAATAGAGCAACCGTAATTGAGGATGGTAAAGGCACCCTCTTAACAGAAGAAGCAGATATCCTTAGAAGGTGGACAGAATACTGTAAGGGACTCTACAATCATAAAATAAGCCCCAATTATAGCCTAATAAACAATTCATGCTGGGACAATAGGGAGATCGGTGATTCACCCATACTAGAGTCAGAAGTAGAGGAAGCAATAAAATCACTTAAGGGAGATAAATCACCAGGAATTGACAACATACCGGCAGAACTAATTAAACATGGTGGACCACAAACAGTTAAATGGCTGAAAGCAGCCTGTCAAAAAATCTGGCAAGAAAAAGAATGGCCTAAAGAATGGACTCAGTCACTAATCATTCCAATATTTAAGAAAGGGGACGCAAAGCAGTGCGAGAACTACAGAACAATAAGTTTAATCAGCCACCCAAGTAAAGTCATGCTGAAAGTAATATTGAACAGACTCAAAAAGAAAGTAGAGGAAATACTCTCAGAAGAACAGACCGGATTCAGGCCGGGCAGAAGCACTGCTGAACAAATTTTTAACATAA